GAAGGAACTAAGCCGGAAAGCAAGGCTCTCAATTAACCAGTCGATCTACCGCCCAGTCCTCACCAATGGTCATGAGCTTTGGGTAATGACCGAAAGAACAAGATCGCCGATACAAGCGGCCGAAATGAGTTTCTTCTTCGGGGTGGCTGGACCCAGCCTTAGGGATAGGGTGTGGAGCTCAGACATTTGGGAGACTCGGAGTAGAACCTCTGCTCCTTCATATTGAGAGTAGTCAGTTGAGGTGGTTTGGACATCTTGTTAGGATGCCTCCTGAACGCCTCCCCAGGGAGGTGTTTCAGGTATGTCCTGCTGGCAGGAGGCCCCCTGGTCTATCCAGGACACGTTGGAGAAAGTACATCTCCAAACTGGCCCAGGAACGCCTTGGGGTCCTGCCGGAAGAGCTGGTGGAGGTGGCCGGGGAGAGAATGGTCTGGAACTCCCTAGTTGGAATGCTGCCCTCGCGACCCGGATAGGCGGAAGAAGACGAGGCCTTTAAATGGTCTCCCAGTCTAAGATGAATTACTGTTATTAATTAACTTTTGCACAATATTCAATTTTTTTTTTGTTTAACCTGTAGAACAGTATTGATGTTTGCTGAAAAGCACATGGTAAATTTATGGTGCATTTAGTGCCAACCACAGCCCAAGGTCATGCGTCAAAAACACCGGAATCCATACTTGTGAGAACACCATATGAGCACCTGTGCATAGACACTTGCATATGTAGGGTTTCTCCACAGAGCTGTCCAGCAGTGACTGCGAGGAGCTACAGTGGCCTGAGACCTCAAGGCGCCCAGATCCCGACGGAGACCTGACAGAGCCCAGGGGCCCGGGCCCCACCAGGCAGTCACAGAGGTCGAGTCAGCAGATACCACAACACCTAGCCCCAGACATGAGAGCCACAAATATGCAGGCAGATGAAGGAACCACCCACCAGCATGAAATGTGGCAACGTAGGGATAGGCCAAAGATGTTGTTGTGCCACAGGAGGAGAGGGGAGGAATCAAAGACCCGACCTGACAGATAAACAGTCACACACGCCCAGCCTTGTTCTCACACAAAAACACATCTAAATTAACGACATACAAGAATGCACGTCACACAATCACTCACACTCCTCAACAGACTTCATTCTCTGGCCCTGGTACTGCTGCACAAAGGGCACAACCAGTCCCCAGACCCAGGAGATGGTCCAGTTCTGGGGTAACGATGAGCATGCAACCGGCTGAGGTAGAGCAAAGCAGCCCACTATCCCAGACGCCAACGGGACGAATGTTTTACTTTCAAAAATCTACAAGAGCAGTGTGTGAAATGTCTACTTTTTCACTCATTCCTTACATTGTGTTAACTATATAAAATGCTATGAAAAGAATATGAATAGACTTGTGTTTTTGCATTTCGGACACTGCCTTAACGCAATGGTAATTCCTAATTATATGTTCTGTAATCACAGTTATGTTTTGCATAAATAAACATCGACTGAATTAATTGCAATATTGACTGGAATCTGAGGTGATAAACGTTTTTTGTTCTTTTTGGGTGAGGAATTTTAATTGGCATCACATGTCTCCACAGCACTGACGAATAATTTGATTGCACATAATAGTGATTACCTGTTACACGTGTGTTGCGCTCAATCTGATTACACAGTCTAATGATTTCTCAAGTTTTTCAGCTCAGGCGGAAAAGACTAACCAATTCACAGTTGGGAAAGGATTTGGACATTTTCAGGAAGTCTGATAATCACAATATGAGGCACAAACATTAGCTTTAGCATACTCAGTTAGCTTAATTTGCAGTGTATTGTTTCCTATTTTCACCAACTTAGTGTGCTACTTTTGCACATATTGCAGCATGTGACGAGTTTCTCGGACCCTAGACGGTGGATGACAATAAATTTTTGTTAAAAGTCTGAATAACTCTGTGGTGAGTGAGTGCACAAGTAGAATTTGGTGGTATCATAAATTCTGTTTTCCTTGCTGTCCTTTGGCTCTGTTTATTCTGTTGAATGATCCAAAGTGGCAGAGTGCAAGACAGTTGCTCATTCTTCATTTGAGGTACAGTACCACAAACAAGTGGCCATGAAGGAATTATGCAAAAATGTTGTGTTTGGTTCAATGAAGTAAGCAAAGCTAAAAACTCACTCTACAAATGTATTTCAGATAATTCAGGAAAATTAATCTCTGCAGGAGATTGCTCCTCAGTTTTGGTTACTTTTTAACTCTAAAAGCGTAAAGGCTGTAAAGTATACATCATGCAAACATAAGTTTTGATCTTTGCAACAAGAAGAATATCTGTAGCATTGTGTTTCCTACATAACAAAGGCTTTAGTGCAGGGGTGCGGGCCGCATCCGGCCCACAGACGGGTTAAATCCGGCCCGCGAGATGGTTGTGTAAACTTTATTTTCATACTTTACAATGTAGAGTGAAAATAAACTTATCTTTGTGAGCAAGTTTCCTCTGTAATGAGCATGAATGCAACAAAGCTGCGCTCAAGGCTCACACAAGAACTTGAATCCCATCCTGAAGTTGGCTGCCACTCAGGATGTGACTTCTGATATTGATGTGCTGGTGAAAGCTAAAAGATGTAAAGTAAAATGAGTCAAATATACTTTAAGTGCTGCATGAAACTGATCTAGCCATGTGATCTGTAAGCTCTTTGAATCACTAAGGAATGTTTTTTTTTTTTTTTTTTTTCAAGTACACTTCAGGTGTTGTACTTGTACTACACTGTACTCAGGCTCCAGCTTGGTTTTATACTGATTGTATTAAAACAAAGAAAACAATCTGAAGTTGTTTTTAATTTACCGGTCCGGCCCACTTGGGACTAGATTTCCCTCAATGTGGCCCCTGAGCTAAAATGAGTTTGACACCCCTGCTTTAGTGCATGTCACCTGTGTGTGACCAATACTATCTGGATGAAAGTAAAAAGCTGAGTTCTTCAACTGCAGGTCGTTTTATCACAAGATGGTGGCCGTCAAGCTGCACCATACGGTAGGAACCAGTGGGAGGTGGTAGCACCTCTGCCACTCTGCTGTGCTCGCCACAAGAGGAGCAATTATCACAACATTAAACAGAGATAAACACCATGGCACAGCGATCGGCTGAACATCTGAGCCGTTGCCGTGTCATCCATCAAAAACCACACCTCAGGGTAGCAGCAGTCAGGTGGTGATACATTACAATGAACAGAAACAGGTGCTGCCGTAGATTCTAATTACTTTGTTCTATCAATTATGTACAAATCCTTGCATGGCCTAGAGTCTGCCACACACTGCTGCGCCGCCTACGCACTCCCTGCACCAGCCCAGCTGTAGTTGTACAGCAGGGCTCACTTTTCAATTGTGTGGATACCTTCAGGTGACTCAAAAGGTTTACTTTGCTGAGACTGAGGGAATAGTACTATCCCGCTGACGTTTGTTGCACTATTTCTTCTGTAATAAAAGGAGCGTAGTCTTTTTTCTTCCTCTCAACCCTATAAGCATCGGTTTAGACACACAGGTGCACCGCTGTTATGTGTTTTTAAGCCGTAACGGTCTTCCAGGCACTTGAGGTTTCTGCCTTTGTTTTGCACACTCTTCAAGTTTTTCTCTCAGTGCACAAAAACAATATGCTAATGAGCGGGTCGACAGCTGCTTCCAGCATGGCTTTTCTCCGGGTGTTTAGGCATGTGTTTGTCACTCACAGGGAATCTGCTCTGCAGAGTCGCGTCTTTTAAAACCAAGGCACATGCAAAATGTTTTCCATTCTGAAGTCACTCTTTTCTTTTAACTTTCCTTCACTGTAAGACGCTGAGTTATGGTTAGGTGCACAACGGTTCCGTACTAATGACATGCCATTTTGCGGTAGATAGGAATGTCAAAAAGCTCTCAGAATAAGTTTTTAATCTTCAAATTGTGGGTTAGAGGGTTTTTTACATCACGATAAATGAAATAGATATTAAATCATTGGGGGGTCAAGGACACTTTAGATCAAATACAAAAGCTTCAGCTACGCAAATTGAAGTTTTATGGCAGCAGAAACTGAAAAGTAACAGAAATTCATACCAGTCCACATTTTAAATGACTCTTTGATGGAGTAGCACTTTAGAAAAATTCTGGGTTTGCATTTGAAATGGCTGCAGTGCATATTCTCCAGGTTTTACCAGCAAGTGCCTGGCTTTTAAAAGCAGGAAAACGTAAAGTCTCAATCAGTAATAATGATGGTTGTTTGATTAGCATTATATTAATCTGGTAAAATAAGGCAATAAAATAATTATATTTATATCCATGATCTATTTGTGATGTTTATTTATTTATTTCTTTGTTTGTTTGTTTTGGTTTGTTGGTTGGTTGGTTATTTGAACATGATACATTTTGTCATAATAATAATAATAGAAAGTGGGAGGGCTTCATTTTAGGTTGGTTTAGGTTCAGTTAGACTTTTCATTTTGGATTTTGTTATTTAATCGTTCTGTGTTTTTGACTGAAGCGCCCTTTGTTTTTGAAACACTTTATGCTGCTTCCTTTCATTTTTGCTGCATAAACTTAATTTTTTTAATTAAATGTATAGATTCCTGTAAGAACTTGTCATTTTAATCTTTATTTGTCATTTAAATGAGCCAACTACTCTATTTACCAAAGCCATTGTTGTGTTTTGTAATCGCTGGGGCTCGCTGTTCGAATGTCACACCTGCTAGTCTGCAGCAGTTACAGACTGTTAACCTCAAGGTCTGGAAGTGTTTGTGAGCCAGCGAAGCTTCACAATTTCTTCCACTTTCTGTGCTCATCAGAGGTTTGCTACTTACAGAGGTCCTAAGCGAACAGAAGATTCACACTGAAGTGAGATCAGACACTATTTACTGCCACTAACTGCAAGGTAAGCGCAATAAAAATAATTTCACTTCATGAAAAGGAGCACGATCGGTTCTAGTTCTTTGGGTATTTTGATTTCTCTTCCAAAACAAGTTCTTCCAAGGTCCAGTTATGAGTTAAATTTTTTCTGCTGCTTGCAATTTGAAAATATGTTTATTTACCATCATTTTATTAACTGCTGGTGATTCTGTTTGTGAGAACGCTGGTTTTTCATGCTTTGGTTGAGGTCTGTATCCAGATGATGGTGTTTAAATGTGTCATGTTTGTGTGTAAAAAACAAAAAGCCAAGAAATGTGCATACGGACAGCAGATAACCTGCCATCTCTAATTAAAGCTAATAAATATCAGTGATGCAGCTTCATTGCTTCTTGAAATAAAGTCCATTAATGATATAAAGGAAGATGATCTTCGACTAAGAGGAAGTATGTCTGACTGCTTCTGGAGGTCAACAGTAGATGCCGGAATTGCCTTTTATTGTGGTTTGTCACACGTACCGAACAGGAAGCATGGATTTAAAGCCTCCTGAATGAAAACAAACAACAGCTGACTGAGACGTGATGTTTTCTGTTTTGACCCAGGCACCTGCTGGAACATGACCCTGCAACCATTAACTCCAGTGAACTGTGCCAGTCTCCTGCAGCCCGGCTGCTCTCTGCTGCAGCTGGACGGAGAGACTCTGCTGTTTGGTCAAAAGGGTTGGCCGAAGCGTTCATGCCCGACGGGGGTTTTTGGGGTACGCCTTAAAAAAGGTGAGATGAAGCTGAGGGCCATCTCCTTCTCCAATGACTCGTGCTACCTTCCTCCACTGCGCTGCCCAGCTGTCTGTCGTCTCGACCCGTACGACGGACTTCCAGAGAGTTACATCATTCACGGCGGTCGCACCCCGAACAATGAAATCTCATCAAGCCTGTACTTGCTGACCATGGATAGCCGTGGTTGCAATCGCAAGCTGATGCTCAGCTGCAAAGAGAAGGAACTTGTTGGAGAAGTGCCACACGCCCGATACGGCCACACACTGAGCATGGTTCAGAGCCGTGGGAAGACAGCCTGTGTGCTGTTTGGGGGAAGGTCCTACATGCCTGCAGGAGAACGAACCACGGAAACGTGGAACAGCGTAATTGACTGTCCTCCACAGGTTTTCCTGTTTGACCTGGAGTTCTTATGCTCCTCTGCTCACACTTTGCCTGAGCTCAGTGATGGACAGTCCTTTCATGTGGCTGTCTCCCGAAAGGACTGTGTTTACTTTATCGGGGGGCACTCAATCACCTCTGACTCACGTCCTCCTCGTCTTTTCCGCCTGCATGTCGAGCTCCTGCAGGGAAGCCCCTTGCTTTCTTGTGAGACCCTTGACACTGGTCTATCCATCTCTAGTGCCATCATCACACGTACAGGTCCTGCCCACAGATACGTCATATTAGGTGGATATCAGTCAGACTCTCAGAAGAGGATGGAGTGCTGCACCGTGCTTCTGGATGAGAAAGGAATCCACATAGAACAGTTGGAGCATCCCAAATGGACTCCAGACATCATTCATAGTCGTACGTGGTTTGGTGGCAGCGCTGGAGAGGGTCGCGTCCTCCTGGCTGTCCCCACGGAGGGAAGGCCAGCCCAACCAGATTCGTTTTACTTCTATCACGTAAGTTTCCAAACAGACCAGGAATGCAACGAGGAAGAAGGAACCCAGGCCTGCAGCCAGGAGTCGACTGATTACGACAACTCAACCCCGCTCGAAGACTCCGAGGAGATTTACTTTGGTCGTGAGCCACATGAGATGGAGGCCAGCAGCGACGACGAAGGTGACAATTACAATGAAGACGATGAGGAGGATGAATCACAAACAGGATACTGGATCAAATGCTGCTTGAGCTGTCAGGTAGACCCCAACACATGGGATCCATTTTACTCCACTGAGCTCCTGCGGCCGGCCATGATTTTCTGCTCCAGAGGGGAGGGGGGGCATTGGGTCCATGCCCAGTGCATGGAGCTGTCCGAGACCCTGCTGCTCAAACTCTCTCAGGGCAGCAAAAAGTACTTCTGTCTGGACCACGGTGGCCTGCCTTACCAGGAGACGACGCCCCCTCGGCAGGTTATTCCCCTGAAACGCACCCCCATGAAAGTCAAGGACAGAAAAGCTCTGATGTACAAGATGTCCTCGGCTAAAAAAAGCTTTTTCAAAAGACTTTTTGATTGACTCTGATTGTCGAACAGCCTCTGGAGCTGTTGTGTTTTGTATCATTTGGAGTTGTTGTTTCAAACAGTTGATTAAAAACGAAATGGTTTTGTCTTGAAATCTAACGGCATTTCATTCATAAGATATTTGAATGACATGAAAAAGGAAAATGCTAAATTGCTTGTGTTTCATTTGGGTTTTTTTTTTTTTTGCATTTAAATTCTTTTAAAACTATGAGAAACTTTTGTAAAACTAAAATGACAATTATTGAATAAAATTTTGATGACAAAATTCTGCTGAAAATGAAAAAAATCACTATTTTTTACGATATGTGTGATCATCTTATAATTTCACAACTTTTATTTTATTTTATTATATTTGCTGTTTTGTTTATGAGACCATTGGGATTTAATGACAATGTTTTTTATTGGTCTCTGTGAAACACTTTGTGATTCTCTTTCTGTGATGAGTGCCATATAAATAAAACGTATTTTACTTAATTTATTTTTGCCTCTATTCTTGTGCATCTTTAGTTACTGATCCACAAATAGACATTGAACAAGTCATGTGAGTTACTAACCAACAAAAAAAGAATAAAACGACAGCTGAAAATATAAACTATGACATGCTATCTGGATGGACACAGATTTTAAGATGTTTCGCTGCAGAAAGCAGCAAATGACATTTCTGACTAAAGTATTGAGTATTTTGCCCTGCACAGGCATGACATTAAATCAAAACTATCACTTCGGTCTACTTTTATTACTCTCCTCTCCTCCCGCGTCAACCTTCAGCCTCACCTTGCCTAACAAGAGTGTCAGGTTGGGAATGACAGCTTGGAGAAGCCGCTGGTTGCATGGCAACAGTGGGAACTTCACCGTGGCAGGAATTCAATTCAGATTTGCTTTGCTGGCATGGATGTCACAACTATTTGGGAGTTAGTGTCTGTTACAAATACATAATGAATAAAAATGGATAAAGATTGGGATTTAGGTGGACATCTCAGCATTTTATTGCAGGACTGATAAGTAAAAGCTACCTTATAAAAATAGAAAAGGCATTACAATGACCAAGTGATGATCTCATCGTAGTGTGGGATGTTTGTGAGTGCTTTGTTGCATCCTGATGTTCTAAGCTGGCGATCGGTCACTCAAAAGGCATTAATTTGCATTTAATAATTTGCGTAAATCAACAGTATTTCTGCCTTAAAAAAACTAAAGTTTCAATCCTAAATTTAATCACAAAAATGGTCAAAGGTGACGAATGCATATCAATCTTCTTAAAGGTGTGGATCACTGAGAAAACTTTTTCTAAAAATTATTTCTGATTTGCATTGATAACTCTGAGTTTTTCATGCAGGCTGAACATGTAAATAGTCTCCTACACCCATCTCCTGCATTCACTCCCGCTTCTGATAGATAATAGATGGTAAAACGCTTGGATTTGAAAATCCTGACAGATCAATGTCACACTGTTACTTAACATTCATGGACTCAGCCATCTTGACTCACGACAGGGAAAGCTGTTGTTGGTTTCACCAGGAACATCTCAACTAGTAGAAGCTAACCATTAGCATTAGCAACTCCATCACACAGCAGAACTCTTTCAGACTTATGTTATTTGTGGAGATAAAACATCAACATTGCAAAGCGAACAGAGTCAGTGGTAGAGTCAAGTTGCTGTTATCCAATCAAAGGAGATGTTCAAATATCAGGAAGTACGACTCCAAATCCTGTTGTCTGAAGCTCAATTCTGATGTTGCTCACTTCTAGTTCCTGAAACAGCTTTTTATCCCCAGAGTACGACTTTCAAGGCATTCATTCCTACTAGAGATAACTGCAGATTAACTGATTAAATGAGTGAACCTTTAACAACGCACATTCTTGTTTCCAATATCAACTTCACTTAGAGTTGATAATAAAAATGGGAAAATGAATGTTTTCCACTCTAATAACATCTCCAACCAAAACACTTCATGCAAATACCTTTTAATAAACAAAACAACAGGCCCTCTGCGCTACATCCGATTGAGTATCGATGCTAGCTTGGATCAACAGTAATTAAAAAGAAGGAAGGGGTTGGAGCACTCAAGTCAATGAAAAAAAAACTTTTCAAATGACCCGAGTGCTCCAGGCCCTTGCTTCTTCTTAATTACCTTTTTATAAACATTTACATTCGCGTCAGTTTCACAATAGCTTCTAATTGAATTAAACGTGTTCAGTCAAAGCAGATCCAGTATAACTATATATATATATATATATAGGCAAGGTAGCTTTATTTGGATAGTACATTTCATACACGGAGACAATTCTATGTGCTTTCCAGGAGTAAGAACAGCTAAATCAACAAGACAGCTAAAATAAAATACACAACAAAAATTTTGAACTAATTTCATTTACTAATGAAATTCTGATTTTAAAAAAAGGCTAAGTTAAAGGGTGAACAGTTACAGTGCAGAAGGTGCAGCATAAGGAATAGTCATTCAAAAGCTGATGAATACATGAAAGTATGTCTGTGTGCATCATAGCAGCTAAAAGCAGCTTCAGCCTGTTTGGTTCTGACCCAGGGTTCTACCAGCTGACTGTTTCCTAAGGATCTCTTATTATCTATCATTTTATAGTACGTCTTTTTATTATTTATTGGAAAATTATTACTTTCAGGTACATAAATTGTCATCTTACCATTGGATGAGCTTAGCAAGATGATTCAGTTGATTTGTGACTGAAGCATTTTTTTCAACTGGTAAGGAACAAAGTTTAAGATGTCTAGTTGTCCCTTGATTTGCTTTTTTTTGACAAAAAAATAAAACTAAAAAAACAAATAAAACTAACAACTATATATATATATATATATATATATATATATATATATATATATATATATATATACACACACATATATAATCTAGACATAGAAGCTTGAGAAATCCCTCCTCGGACAAAACAACAGCAGTTCAAAGTGACGGCTCCATCACTGTCTGCTGGGACAAAGTTGTCGACTTTTCCTCTCTAGTCGTATTGCATGAATCCATTTACAAATTAGACGAATGTCTGAAGCTGAGTGGAAATTAAAACAATGTGGACATTTGTGTCACGGTCTGAGGTGAGCTCTTCATAACAACTTGTTTTGTGCTGGATTGCAGGTGAGTGGTGATCTGGAGCAGGACCAGCTTCAGCAGATTACCCTGCGCAGAATAAAAGGAGGAGCGAGACGACAACACATCGCCTGACGATTACTCTATCTGGGTATCACTAGCCATTCAAGTTGTCAGTGTTGTTAAGGTTATTTAGTCCCTTGGATAATGTCAAACCTCTCTCTACCTTAAAGCAACCTTCGTCTCACTCCTGACCGTCCCGCTCTCCACCACTCACCTGTCCTGTCTACCCCTGGACCCTTGGAATTTGGACTCTGTTGCTACCGGATATCCCTCAGATCTAATGGTGGTCTCCCGTGTGCCAATTCTGCATGTCTTGTTTCAAGCAAATAAATCCAAACATGACCATTTGTTTGTTTGTTTATTTATTTATTTATTTATTTGCACCACTTTAGTCACTTTTGTCTGCCTGGAGTTTCCTCCTTAAGACAATTTTATAACCTTATGTCATCAGTCGACGTCCAATATCTTTTGTAAATTGTGTTTCTAATTGTCTAGAATTTATTTATTTATTTATTTATTTATTTATTTATTTATTTCCATCTATCTATCTATCTATCTTATCTTTTTTTTTTATTTCAGGCATTTGGCATTAACCACCTAGGTAACAAACCACCTCCAAAATATGTACACATTTGAATTATGATGAATGTTAATATTGAGTGCCTGAAAAGGGAGTGGGAAGAAGAAGACTTACTTAAGCCTACCGCCATTTGAATGAATATTTCAGCCTGAGGCGCATACATTAGGTATAAGTGCTGCCCAAAAGGCACATTTCTACCTGGTTTCTTGCAGCTGATCCCACATTATAAAACAAACAAGATGGTAACATCAAGTTCAAAGTTTATTCATCCATTTAGACCAAGGCAAGTACACACGTCATCTAAAAAAGGAACTTATTCAAGTGTAATGCATCTGAGTGACAATGCAGCGGTAACATCAAAGAATGAAACTGCACAAAATGTTGGTACGTAGTGTATTATTTCATTTGTATTTCCAAAGAAAGCATTTTCACAGTTTAAGTAAACACTTCACCTGATATTTAGTGTATGTGTGAGAGCAAAGAACAAGAAAAACACCGCGCTGTATGAACAACAGGGATTCTGGGAATCATCCATCATCCTTTACTTTGGAAACGTAATTCATTACGGCAAAAACAAAATATACGACAAGTTGCAGTGTGATGCACTCTAAAAAATGATGTTATTGTGGGACTCTGACAAATATTCATTGAAATGTGAATATTTCATTGCTGCCTCATGGTTAAACTCATGACAGTAAAACCAAATCAAACATTCAATCAAGTAAGAAAACAAAATTGCCTGCCACAAGTCAAAATGCTGAGGGCAAAAAAAGACAATATAATCAATCAATCAAACAAATAAAGTTGCCAACGAATCAGTTTACATCAGGTCTTTCTGGTTTCCACCCCATTCCTCTCTTCTGTCAAGATTGGAAGTGAAAAAATATCAGTAGAGGAAAGGAACCAGGTCATGAAGAGAAGTGAGGAACAATTCCTCCTTGCGTGTGAGTCCATAGGGTATTAGGCTCTCTAATGGACCACACTATATTCTTCAGATATCAACAAAAAGGTCAGTAAGTGCTTTGCTTTATGAGAAGATTTCAAATACACATCATCCATCCTCCACCTTGGAAAAAAAAATTAAAGAGACAAAAAAATGGTTTCAAAGTGACCTGGCATCTATCCTGGCCCTTAGAGACCCAGCGATAAAGCACTAAAGTCATCTTTTTCAGAGGGCACTCATGAAACAAAGAACATTTGGGTCCCTGTGATTGCATTTCCTTCGGCTAAAATGATATATTAATACAGTGGCCACAAATGTGGTCTCTTTAACACGATTTCACTCCATGACTTACAGCTCTTTCATCTGTTTCCATAAATATCCCCTCTGTATAAATTCATAAATGTGTCATATCCTTGCAATACAATAAAATGCACCATATTTCACAGACAGCAATGATTTAAAAAAGAGGAGGAAGGAAAAGGAAACTTGTATTACTTTTACAGTAAGTTTCTGTGCTGTCCCAGTTTGAAGTGAAGGAATGGGCAGAGCAGTCAGCAACACTGTTAAACTCGACAGAAGAAATAAAGGAAACGTTAACAAACATTTGCGTCTTTCAAGTGCAAAATGTTGATCAATCAAGAAATATGCTGGATCCAATGAAGACGTTTTCAAAAGACACTTAAATTCACACAAAATGTTAAAGTTACCTTAATATTTAGGTATTGAGGTACAATGCATATTTAACCTCTAAATAAATCAAATGTTCAAAGTAAGAAATTGTATGAAATCAAAAATCTGTTGCTTCCAGGGATGTACCCTCTGGATCTTGTATCTCCTCTGGGTCGATGGTTGCCTGGAAGGCTTTGGCAGAGTCTTTGTGAGCCTCCATGAACTTCTGCAAGAACTTGGAAGTGTAAAGCCAGTGATGTTTCAGCACATCCTCCAGCTCGTACGCCTTTGACTGACGCGCATTCATCTTCCTGAAGCGTCTGAACAATTTGTTTGCCGACTCGTTGCCTTCGCTGGCCCAGGCTCCGATGGAACCGTCTCTTTCTACGATTTCAGGTACATGAGCAAGGGTCTTGTGCAGGTAGTTTGTTATCTTTCCATTGTACCTGTATTTGAAGGTAGAGGAGAGGAGGTCAGCAAAGCGCTGGGAGTTAAAGCTGTATCGGCACAGCTGGTCTGGGCACTCCTTTGCTGGGCAGGTGGCACGCCACACAGGCTTCATCTGGAGGTAGAGCCTCATGAGCTCCCTCAGGGCCTCTCTCCTCTCCTCTGAGGGCACCAGCTCACACACCACCTCCACAGACTCCATGGTCATTAACCTGCGGGCATAGTTCCCGTTCATCCTCATTACTGGTTTAAGCTTCATCGTCTTCCTCAGCTGTTTATCTAGGGCTGCCCTCCAGCTGCGCCGTTCCTCTCTGCTGGGATTGACCTTTTTGTACACTTCTCCGATCTCGTCTTGGAAGATCTTGTAGAATTCTGTTGCGTTGCCTATGTCGCAGTGTAATGCATCAAGAGTGGGTTGGGTCTCCATGAAGGGCTTTGCGGAAACTCCTTTGACTCTGTCTCGCAGCTCTTCTACAGATTCAGAGAAGGGATTGGTTCTCCATATTTCATAACGTTCCAAGTTCTCCTCGTGACTGCGGGTGATGGAGTGTAGCACCATGTTTTGAGCGGCCTCTGCTCGACTGGAGTCACACAGAGTGCAGACATACGTGGACCCCGAAGCCTCCAGTCCCTCCATCTCCCGGACCATCTTTTCATCGTACCCTGTTCCTCTGAAATGGAAGCGAAAGGATCGCTGCATGCCACCCATCGACAGAATCAGCCTGCTTTCCTTCATCGCTTTACGCTCTGCAACTATAGGCCCCAGGACAGCTGTGAGCATTTCATGGTCTGACTCATCTACAAACATGAGGCAAAGAGGTTTGCAGGACAGTTCAGAGTTTGGTTTGGGTTCAGTGAAAATTGTAACCTCCTCACCCTCACCTTCAGCCAGGGCAGATACAGACATAACAGTGAAAGAGAAGCGAACAGCCTTTTCTGGAACAGCTGGTCCTCCTCCATGTTTTTCACTGACATCCCCCATCCCATCACAATATTCCTTGATCATGACATTAAAGCCCAAGGTGCAAGCACTGTCTTCCATCCCGGTCTCGCTCAGACCCTCCATGATGTCCTCCTCCAGATCCTTTAATGCTGCAACCAGTGCCACGTCATAGCGAAAGCGTCGAGAGATGGTGTCAGCTGGGGAGTCATCCACGGAAGAAGCCCATCCAGAAAGCCCATTAATAATGCCAACACTGCAAGCTGCAGACACGTTCTTGAGAGCTGGCTGCCATTCAAACTGGTGAAAGCCAGGAAGAAGCTCCTTTTCTGCAGCTCTGAGGGTGTGCAAGGGCTGAAAGATCTGGCGGCCACTCGAGGCTTTGACAGTGCGGTACATCTTATGATACTGGCTGCAGCTCAGGAAAGTATTGACCCGAATGGCCAAGCACACAGCAGGACTTAATCCAAAGCCTCTTCCTGCAGAGAAAGAAAATAAAAGCAGAGAAAGTTTCAGACGGAGACAGGAAGAGGCATTGTACAAACATTAAAGAAAACACAGGCAAGGTTGATGCATAAGGAGATTTATTTAACACCAAGCCGCTGAAGCCCATTTGAAAACAATAGAATCGAGCATTTCCCTGTTTGATTTCCTACTTCCAAAGCAATTTCTACAATAAGACATAGAAAATTGTCAATTTAATACCCAAATGTGAACATACTGTTGACAAAAACACACCAATACATTATTACAAAATCCAATGTTTCCCACTTTTCTGATGTTGCAAGAGGACAGGGTGAAACTGGCAAAAGTGATGTATTGGCTGAAGATGAAAACAGACACCAGCTGCCTTCTGTTCCCAAGAGAGGAGGATGGTGCTGTCTGCGTAATTTGCAGATACAAGCACTGCTGATGTTGTTTTTGATTCTAACAGCCCTTCACAAGACTTGTTACTGTGCATTAAAGGGAGTGTGAGAATGAAAGACAGGCATGCGAGATGAGTGAGAGTCAGGGAGGAGCTGGGCCTGAAACACCAGTCTTTCTATAGACAGCGATGGACAATAAGGAAATGATTTTCAATTCAAATCCCAGGAAACTGTCTCGTCTCCCCTCAGTAATGAACTTTTCAACACTTTATTATTTATGAGGTAATTGTATTCCTCAGAGGTGTGTGTAAATATTAATGAGCAAACAGTGTTATAATTAACAATTGTCTTTTGTCCCTTTTTGTGGTTAGCTGACTGATCAAAAGCCTTAGAATAGCTTCTTACCTTGCATCAGGGCTTCCAGCTCATCTGCCTGCCGATGCTCATTTCCAGATCTCAGAGCGAGCAGAAAAAGCGTCAAACACACAGACTTCAGGTCGCCGCCTTCTTCTTTGTCTGCAAATACCCTCACCTGGGTCTTCAGCTCTTTGAGCCGATGCTTCTGGGCCCGACGGGTCAACGACAGCAAGTGCTGCCGGGGTCTTCCCCCTTTATTAGTTAACAAGTAGTTTTCAGTTTCTGTTGAGTGCTGTTTTTCATTTTTGCCCAGCTCATGTCTCAAACGGTGGGTCTTGAGTGAGCCCAGCTGCACGCGCTCGCCGCAACCTTCACAGGGGCACAGCAGAGGCAGAGAAAGCAGGGCCGATACGAAGGCTTTGGCAGGGGGGATGAGATCATCAGGGGTACAGGAAAGGCTGCACGCAGGGCAGTGGGGTCCCAGGACGTGGGTGAATTTTATGATGCAGCTGCGGCAGAAGAGGTGCCCACAGGGGGATTGGAGTGGATCAGAGAGCAGGTGGTCACACACCAGGCAGATGAAGGAAAGGAGGAAGTCTACAGGGAGCTTCTCAGAAATCAGCTTGATGCTCAGGTGGTCGTTCTGGCAGTGTGTGATGTTCTTCACCCACTGCTCTCTCTGGATGCTGGTTTTGTTCCAGGCTCTCAGCACAGGACTGTGACGCTCTCCGAAGGGTCTCAGGGCTCTTTTCTCACTAATAGCAATGCTGTCACCCTGGTCCTCCCGGCTGCTTTTTGCCAGACTCTGGACTCTAGGAATGACTTTCCTCCTCTTCCTCCCTGTCCTTTGGAACGAAGACTTCCTGGGGGAGCAAAGGTGGCAGTGGGAGGAATGGGGCTTCCATTCTGGAACCTTGGTTCTGGTGAAGTTGCAGACGCCTCCCCCTCGTTTGACGACCACCCAGCATCGATGACAGAAGGAGAGAGGGTGGATGGACTCCGAGTCTTCGGTCACATCCACTTTGAAGACTTTTAGGAGGACCTCTGGCCAGGTTGTTAACTTGCAGCCCATTTTACGAAGAATGCATTTGCTTCCCTGATCGAGATTTCCATGAACCTCGTGAATGGGTCCTTGGACTTTTGCCAGCGTTTCTCCACAAATACGGCACAAGCATCTATTTCACCAAAACAAAAAGCAACATTTTATTCAAACCATATGAAGAACAAAGAGATTTTTATTTGTCTGTGATAGATAATCACCTGAGATGGTTCATGTGAGTTTCCATTTCCTGCAGCTTTATATCCACTCTTCTGCCAGGGCCTTCCACGTTTTCCTTGCTTTTTCCCCCCAGGCATAATTTCATAACACTGGCTGGACCTGCACCATGATCTGTCTCTATATTTGGAGCTCCAGGAGGTGAGATCCCTAATGAGACTCCTATCTCAGGCGGTGTCTCGCTGGGCAGAGGTGCCTTCTCCATGGACTTCACTCTAAACAGCTTAAACTTCCACTGAGAATACTTAGAATGGGGATGGTGGAGCTCAGCAGGCATGAAGGATCTGGGACCATCTGTCTCTGGGCTTTCTGCCGCCATGATGAAAATTAGATCTTAAACCCTGGAGAGAACAGGAGAGGAGAGATTTGTATGATCTACTGCAGAAGCCTTAAAATAACTCCAGCTGCACGTAAAAAAAAGAAATGGATACACAGAAAATACTTGAAGGTTCAAGTCCCCTTATTGGGATTTAAACGTGTGTGTTCTCAGCATTGAGCCAGCCTCACAATCGAAAAGCAGCTCTGCTTGACCCTGAAATCTTATTGAACAGTAAGCCTTGACCTAGAGTGTTGTATTATACCATAAGTGGCGTTTAGATCTCGTGCAAAATGCATAAGTCAAGCACTGGCGGATCAATACGACACCAAAATGTTCATTTCTCTAGTCTAACCCGTTTTTCTCAGAGCCACTGTGTCGTTCTCCTTTTTTCCTTTGACACAGCAAGTTTTCGAAGTAGACAGCCTTATCCCTGCCAGTCATTTAAGTTAGTCATTTTCTTGGCTGTGGAGAGAATTGGTGTCCTGGGAGCCTCCAGTCGGCATTTTAAATGCAAGAGGAAAAACTCTAAGACACAGCAGTCTTATTGATAATACATCATATACTGACCAAACGGAAGCAGAAGAGAAAACAAGAAACCGTTATATTGAATTAGCATCAGGAAAAGATGTATTCCAGAGACACCTTTGCATGATTCATATTATGTATTTCACTCACTAAGTACACTTATGACACACTTCAAGTCAAATCAATCACAATGCTGTGCTGATGGGTCTTATTTTATCTTCTCCCATAGGATCTGGCTTCTATATGCAGTTCTGACAACAGGACAAACAAAGTATCTCAGAAACTATTATGTCCATTTTAGAGTCTTACCATCTCACACTCATGGCAGACACAACGTGGATTCTTCCCTCCATCCATCTTCTCTGCAATTTCTCCCTCAGAGGCTTGAATCTGTCAGTCTATGCCATTTCCTAGATCTATGTCTGCTTCACGGGCTGAACCCTCATGTGAGACAAACAGCTGAGCCTGTGTGCATGTGTGTGTGTGCGTGTGTGTGTGTGTGTGTGTGTGTGTGTGTGTGTGTGTGTGTGTGTGTGTGTGTCAGCTGGGCTTTTCTTACCTTGTTTTTCGGTCTCAGCTGGCAGCGAGCTCCCTTGGGGGCCCTTTCTGCATGGGAGCACAAGGGAAGCCCTGGAGCCAGCCCCCCGTATGTGTTTCAGACTTGCAGTTTGGAGCTTCTGTAACCAGGAGTTGTGGTTTCACACAGTGGGATCGCTCCCATGGTGTGTCGTATTTATACCCTCCTTGTGATGGAATCCCAACAGTCACCCCTCGCCACCTGATAAAAGCAGCTGACAAAGGAAGAAAAAAAACAAGGTCGACCCCCCAAAAGCGGTTGGAACAGTTGCACGTTAAGAATCCAGCAGCATACCCCCGGGAAAAACAACCCTTTACCACAACACACTGATCCTCAGCTCTTCTGATCCATCTGCAGGTTCACCTCATCCAGGTGGCCTGGCCTCTCCGACACACAACCACTCTTAAACTGTTGAAAGATGTGCAGAGAGAGAAGAGCTCTAACCCTAAAAGGAAGAATTTAAAACATTTGTTAAAACTGGCTAAAGATTTACCACAATATAAGTAAAAAGGAGACACCGATCATGGTTCTGAGAGCCAATACTGATTTTTGATTTTTGTACAGGCCTGACCTGCCAATACCAATTTTTCTCAAAGAAATTAAAGTTTTTTTTAACATGAGCAACTTGAAAACTTGAAAAGTATAAATCTGGGAATAAAGACTTGCCAATGCTAGCCCAAATGAGCACTTAAAGATTTTAGGTTCATTAAAGTAAGACTAAATATGTTTTTAAACTTTAAGCTAGTGCTGTGGATTGATCTCAGTGATTGTTGAGTTAGAAACTTGACCAGTTTCATATTTGACACACTCTGCAGCCCTCTACAGGCCAGACACTGCACTGAACAGTTTTGAGGGGTAGGTAGGTGTTCTAGAAGGCTCATTTTATCTGCTTCACATCTGTTTGCTATTTTCTGTGCTGGTAGCTAAAAGGCAGTTAGCTCTTTCAGTTCACAAATCATCAACGAAAAACAAAATAAGAAGAAGAAAAAATAAGTTTGCTTTCTTGTTGGTGTCATGGCAGAGCCTGGGAGTAAAAGTCTAATGGGCCATTCCCATCTGTACCGGGTCGGCCCGGGCCGGGTAGCGTAGGTTGTTTACATATCTGGGTGGCCTGGTATTTTTCCGGGCCAACCGAGGCTCATTCTCAGCCCTCTTCTCGAGGGGCTCTGCTTCAGGCCGACCAGGGCCAACACACCCACTGCTGACAGCAAATTCACACCTTCCATTAGAGCAAGCCTCTGATTGGTGGGTAGAATCAGCCCACATGGGCTTAAGACAAGGATGTGTGGAATCAACCGGGCCAGGCTGGGGCCGACTGGGGCTACCCGGCCCGGGCCGGCCCGGTACAGATGGGAATGGCCCATTAGGGTGTTTCTCAATGCCAAGCCAACTTTATTTATAAAGCACTTTAAAAACAGCCCTCACTGACCAAAGTGCTGAACATAAAAACATAAAAGCATAAAACAGAATAAAATAGAATAGGGTAAAAAGTTAAAACCACACTAAAATAAAACACTAAAATCAAATAGAAATCCAAAACTTTATGCGGTGTTGAAAGCCAAGCTAAAAAGGTGGGTCTTTAAAGATGATTTAAAAGTTTCCAGTGAGGAGGCCTTTCTAATATGTGACGGCAAAGAGTTCCATAGTCTGGGTGCAGCAACAGCAAAGGCCCTATCCCCTCTGAGCTTACGCTGTGTCCTTGGAACGTCCAGGAGCAACTGGTCAGATGAGCATCGAGCGACCGAGAGGAGGATTGAATGTGCAATAGCTCAGAGAGGTAGGGCGGGGCAAGACCGTTTAAAGACTTAAAACTAAATAAAAGATGTTTAAAATGAACCCTAAAATGGACAGGCAGCCAGTGCAGTGAAGATAAAACAGGAGTGATTTGTTCACTCCTCCCTGTACCAGTTTAAAGTCGAGCAGCGGCATTTTGCACCCACTGAAGTCGAGTCAGTGAGGACTGGCTCATACTAAAGTACAAAGAGTAACAGTAATCCAGACGAGTTGTAATAAAAGCATGGATTACAGTTTTAAAATCCTCTCTAGTTAAAATGTGCTTTACCTTTGCCAACTGTCTCAGATGAAAGAAGCTGGATTTGACAACAGCACTGATCTGACTGTCCAACCTAAAATCACTGTCCATTTTAAAACCCAAGTTGGTCACAGCTGGCTTTCTGTGCAGTGCCAGGGGCCCTAAGTCCATAGGACTGGGCCTGCTGGAGGTACCAGTACCAAAGACAATTATCTCTGTCTTTTCCTCAAAAAAATTTAATAAGTTAAAAGCCATCCAAGATTTTACCTCATCCAAACAAACCGCTAGAGATTTTATACTGCAGCCATCCTTTTGTTTTAGCGGGAGATACATCTGTGGATGCCAAAGAACCTCGCCTTGATGTCTTAGTCCCACCCCGGTTGCCAAGGAGATACGTCATCAGGAACCACCAAGGCGTGTTCCAATGTTCATGTTCTACCAAGGCGACTGTTCTCAATTTGTTAGCCGTTTAGCTAGCTGAGCAAGCCGTTTAGCTAGCTGAGCAAGGATACACGGGAAGGTGTCTTGTAGCCTGTCAAAAATTTCCCAGAATACATAGCTGTATTTTCAAATGAATGGCGGATCAGAAGCCGACAGTTACTTCGGGGGGAAATTTCAAGTTTAAATGTAAGTAAACTAATTGTAGCTATTGGGCTGATATCTGAAGTGTTTTTTAGATCCAAACAAGTTATCTATGGCTGAGTAGTTGCAGCTTTGGTGGCTAGTAGGCAGTAACTCACTTATATATTTAATTTCACCAATATGTACACAATTTAAAAAGTAAAAGGCTTGTTATGTATTAATATTGAAACTTATATATATATATATAATATAACGTTATCTCCCGTGTCACGTGACATTACAGCCGCGGAAGCGGTGGCCACGTGATGCAAGTCTGTTCCATTTAACCATTTCTTTGACCAAGGAAGGACAGTGTCCTCGTAAGCAAGGAGCTTGGCCTCGCAAGGCCTGGCACCTTGATATTAAGAAGCACCCAGAGCAGGGGTCGGCAACCCACGTCTCTGGAGCCGCATGCGGCTCTTCCATCCATCTGATGCGACTCTCTGCTTGTAAAACAATGAATGGATATTTAAACAAAATGCATTCCTTTTAACTGCATTCATTTTACTTCTGTATGCCAGCTCTAAATGTAAAGATTGTCGGCGTAAACCTGAACAGGTCCAACCCGGTCTTACTGTGAGACCGGGTTGACAGGTCACCTGCTTGTGTGTAATCTAATGTCTCTATAGGTGCTTTCAGAGCTGAAGAGGATGAGATTCTAAGCTTTTTCCTCAAACAGGCTCATGGATGCGTCACAGCGTTGCCACATTGGACACAGGAACAAGCGCTATTCAGCCAAGGTTTCATAATCAGAGAACATTTTCTAAGTGGCAAGTCTCTCTGAGAGACAGGGTTTGGAAAACACGCTTCAGTGGGAGGAATCTTCCCGCATTCACTCTGGTTCTGCGACGCGCTCCAAGCCCCACTCCACATCTTCAGCTCGCTGTGCACCGTACGTACGCGCTGACAGTGAGCTGCTCTGAGCGGTGTCCAGCTCAGATGTTCTGATAGGAATCTTTTCTTGAGTGATTTAGCTACATCTGCGATGTGCATAACGAATATAAAATGGAATAAAATGTCAGTTTGTCTGCATGCGTCGGGGTAATTCTTTCTATTCTCTCTCTGTCAAAATAAACGGTCAAATGCGGGAACTTTTTGATCCATTTTATACAAGTTGTTTTATTGATTATCTTCTATTGAAAGATAACTTTGACGTACACGAGCGACCGGTATGGCTGCTGTCACCTGTTGTGACTGGTTAAAGCAGCTGTCTGCCGCGGCTCCTAGTGTTTTCTTTGTGGGAAACAGGTCGAATGGCTCTTTGATGGGAAAAGGTTGACAACCCCTGACCCAGAGTGATGTGTCTGGAGGCGAAGCAAAGAGCTAAAACCACAGTGAAAATCTCCACAACCTACACTCGTTTGATGAGGCTATGAAGTCACGGGCTGATGGTGACCTGGCTTTGTTGATACTGGACTTGTAAGGAATATTTTTTGTCCGACAGTGTGGATCTTTTCCATTCATGGCTTATTTAGTAAGACTTAGTGTTAGCTCGTTGTTTGGCAGGCTGCTGCAGGGTTAATTCCAGAAGCTAGAAATGGTTTAGTGTTATTTAAAAAAAGAAAAATGTCTGATTTTTTATACTGCTGGTTGAAAATGGTGCATTTGTTGACTTAAAAGGGAAGAAAATGTCTTTTTTTTTTCCTGTAGCTTGACGAGTTGCGGATTTGGCCGTGCGTGCTGAAGACAGGCTGATTCCCATTTTTGTTGCGCCTCTGAAGTCTAGTTATAATAAAGATGGTTTTTGTTATCGCTGTCATCCCATTTTACTGCTAATCTATAAAAACAAAGGAAGTGAGTCACATTAGGTTGAATGCAGAGCAAGACTGTTCACTTGACAGTTTCTATTTTTATTAGTTCATTTTCGGAACAACAGAAATTCAGCTTCACAGCCACAGAACGAGAACTAATTAGTTAAAACTTTATTTTTCTGTTATTTTGTCCATGCAGTCCTTGTAGTTACACATTTCTATTCATTTCTTCTCGCTATTATTACTTCTTGCCCACCATTCAAAGTGAGCTTGGATTATACAGCTTCATTTGAAGCAGCCTCTCAGCAGGTTTGCAGAGTATTTGCCCAAGATCATTCTTGTTTCTAATTATCCAGGGGATTAATCTGGTGTATTCGCCACAGGAGCCTGTTACTGTTGCTTTGGATTTGCCATCCAAGTCATTAGATACACAGTCAGTGGGCACCAAACAACAGTTGGGTCTTCCCCAGTCTTGTCAGCCTAACAGGGGAGCAGGATGAACACTGGCAGGCGACGCAGCTTATATTTGGTGC